TTAGAGACAGGGTCTTGTGGCCTTGCTCTGTCACCCAGGGTGGAGTGCAGTGGCATGATCACGGCTCACTACGGCATCAACTTCCAACTCCTGGCTTTGAGCAATCCTCCCACCTCAGCCTCCCAAAGTGTCAGGATTATAGGCATAAGCCACCACGCCCAGCCAACCATCACTTTTTAACTATTATTTATATTTTTTGTTTTTATTGTTTTTGAGATGGAGTTTCGCTCTTGTTGCTCAAGTTGGAGTGCAGTGGGGAGATCTCAGCTCACTGCAGCCTCTGTCTTCTGGATTCAAGCAATTCTCCTGCCTCAGCCTCCCAAGTAGCTGGGATTACAGGTGTGCACTCCCACGCCTGGCTAATTTGTATTTTTAGAAGAGATGGAGTTTCACCATGTTGATCAGGCTGGTCTCGAACTCCTGACCTCAGGTGATCTGGCTGCCTCGGCTTCCTGAAGTGCTGGAATTGTAGGCATGAGCCACCCTGTCCAACCTTTAATATAATTTTTAAAGAAAAAAATTAAAATAATCTGAGAAGTAAACAGCTTTGTGCCCCCTTGGGCTGCTGGGAAGTCTGGAAGCCACGGGAACACCGCTGGGTCTCCATAGTTCTGTGGCATTGCTCCAGTGCTATAGAGATGCCATGCTGCTCATTGGTGTCTATGCAGTGATGGGGGCCCCAGGAGTCAGTGTCTAGTCTTCAAATTTTCCAGTTCAAACACAGTAGAACCAAAACCTGATAAGGTTCTGGAGGGACAACTTACAGACTGAGTGCATGGTCAGAATGGCATCTAAATTGGTTTACAGAGGGTGATAACTGCTATTAGTTATGAACACAGGAGACCAAAGTGCTGATCAGAAAAATGCTTGTCAAGAAATAGCCTTTGTACTGGTGTCTCTGCCCCAGTCCATGCTGTGCGACGCTTCTGGGTAGTCTTCCCAAAGCACGGTTTTGACAACTTCCCTGCTGGGAAGCCGCACTCCAGAGTGGGATGAATCCAGCAGGACCCTCCAGTGCGTGAATGTGTGGATGTCTCTGGCTTCACCTCCCATTCTGCTGGTGTGAGTGCTGTGCTTGCTTCCTACTCTCCTGCATCCCCTACTGGATATCCTTCCTGTCTTCCTGCCTTCCTCAAATCTCCTTCCAGCAAAATTCTCTCCAGTGTTAATGTCCACGTGACTGTGCTCTCCAGCAGAGGCCTGGCTCAGTGACACTCCCTCGCTCACCCTGATGTGCTCTCTCCCCTGACCCAGACCCTTAGCCATTGCTTTAGACCAGTGGTTCCCAAGCTCGGGTAGGCATCAGAACCACCTCAAGAGCTAGGAGAGAACATGGAGACCAAGGCTTAATGTGGTGGGACCTACCTGGGCCTGAACAAGTCCCAAGTCCCCAGGTGAGTCTAATCCCCAGCAAGGCATGAGAACCACTGGTATGGGCTTCTCATAGCACTTCCAACTTTCTGCCTTCTCATGTAATTGGTGCATTTGCTTACCCTCTGTATTAAAGGTATAAACCTCTGTGGATATTATTTATCTCTAAATGTGAACCCCTACCCATTATCGCAGCACAGTGCAGTGTGACTTTCAGAGGTAGGATCTCAGTGACTGTGTGTTGTGCAGAATTGACAGACACAAACAAGACGAGGGTGGGCAGGGAACACTGGAGTGATACTTACCAGCATGGTCTTTAGTGAACACTGATGACAACTTGACTGAGAAAGCAACAGGGAGCCAGTGGTGAACCACTTATTAACCCATTTATGCCTGAGGTTGCAGTTTTTTGAATTTTTGCAATCAGACCTTAGCGATGACCTTGAGCAATAGGATATAAATAATTCCCACATGCTTAGCTTTCCAATAATGGAACACTAGGCATTAAGGTGCACAGAGCACTTGGTTCTGACCCGTTGCCGTTAACCATACTCCTTGTCTTGAAGAGGGAGAAGATCTATGGGAGGGAGAAGACAGGTAATGAGCTAATCATGCCAAGAGTAGACAGGTACAGTCAGCCAGGCTCATGGAGGGGAGCCAGGGTGGTGGGAGTGGTGGGAGTGGTGGCATAGTGGTGTCTTCCTGTGCAAATTCTGTGAATCTGAAGTTCTTTGAGCACATGTATGCCAGAGACAGGGTAGAGGGGACATCCTTATTGGAAGTGTGGATGGGAGTGTCGACCACCAGGACCATGAGGGTTGTGCTCTGCTAAAGAGGATACCCTCAGAGCATCCCCCACAGGCACTAGCTTTTGGCCCAGCTAGAGATAACTGGGGGTGGACTTCAAATGGTGGCCTGAAATTAAAACCAAAAACCCAGTAGGATTCACAGGGGTGACTGGAGCCATGGGTGGCTGCAGGCTGTACCGCCCCCATTCTGGCTAAGTGTGAGGATCTGTGGAGGAAGCGCCAGGGGCAGCACTGGCCTCCAGCTCCTTCCCATTTTTGGCATACACACTCGTTCACGTGTTCATTTAGTCATCAACACTGCGTGCTTTCTGTGTGCTGAGCACAGAGGCACATGGATGAGCACATAGATGATGCATTCCCAAGAACACACAGGCACAGGCACAGGCACAGGCACTTCCCCCCAACACACACACATTTTCTCATTCCATCTCTACCCTTTCCTTTGGAAAATCCTGCTTTGAAATATTCAGTTTAGTGAAAAGGTGAGAAATTTTAAAAAGCATACTTCCAAGAGGTTCTTAGTCTTGGCACTGCTTGGGCGCTAATGACCCTATTTACTATTTCCAGGATGCGGTCGATTTCCTCTCTCTTGATTTGTCTTATGAATGCCAAAATGAGGCAAGTCTGCAGCAGAAGCTGAGTAAATTGCAGGTAATTTGAGCCCTTTTCCACATTGATGATGAATGCAGCAAAGGTTTCTGAGAGCATATTAGACATTTGATGGTTTGGCTACTGCATAAACTGAACTTCCATCAACAGTCAGAGACCTGCTGAGTTGCGTCTTGGGAGATTTCCATTGCAAGCATTCCTAGAGAACATCGGATGTTGGGCAGTCTTTCCTAGAAAGGATATGAGGGTTAGCTTTTTCAGGTAAATATTTACATAGATCCTTTGCTTTCTTGTGTAGAAATCTACCTAGAATCTCGAGATTCTAGGGTCATTCTGAATTTTAAAAAGGCAGTTCATCAATGGGGGTGATGGTTGCACAACGATATGAATATACTTAATGCCACTGAACTATACATTTAATGGTTACGATGGTACATTTTATTATTATTATTTTTTTTCAAGATGGAGTCTTGCCTGGTGGCTCAGGCTAGAGTGCAGTGGGGCGATCTTGGCTCACTGCAACTTTTGCCTCCCGGGTTCAAGCGATTCTCCTGCCTCACCCTCACCCTCTCCAGTAGCTGGGACTACAGGGACACACTACCATACCTGGCTTATTTTTGTATTTTTGGTAGATTTCACCATGTTGGTTGGGCTGGTCTCAAACTCCTGACCTAAAGTGATCCACCTGCCTCAGCCTCCCAAAGTGCTGGGATTTCAGGCATGAACCACCACACCCGGCCCGTAAATGTTTTCTTTATCTCTATTTTAACACATTTTTTAAAAAACAAACACTTTACACCCAGGTCTACTAAATCAGATCCCAGCTGTCTGGACCTTCCAATAAGCTCAGGACTCCCTCCTGTACCCAGTACTGCTAATGCCTGATAATCTGAAGTGGAAGTTTCATCCCAAACTCATTCCCCCACATCTCCACCTCCCCCAGTCTGTGGAAAAATTGTCTTCCACGAGACCAGTCCCTGGTGCCAAGAACGTTGGGGACTGCTGATCTAATCAAAGGGAATAGATGCAGCCATGAGACATCTGAGTAACAACGGTATAATATTAGTGCTTGCTTATCCCAGACACCTGGAAGGCACTTCATTCTCATATCATCTCAACCCCTCAAAACACATTCTAAGGTTTAAACAATTTTTTATTTTTTATTTATTT